AATTATTTAAAAAAAAATTATTTTGTTTATTCATTTTTTTTACATCACCATAGTATTAACAGCGCGGATATTGCAAATCAATCAATAGTTCAACAACATTGCAGTTTTTTCAAAAATTTTACAAAAAGCTTCAATAATCCTGAAAATAATTTAAGGGCTTTTATTGCAGCCTTGTTTACAAAGAGTATTCTAAATCCTTTTGGAAAGTTCTTCACAAACATTAGTTTACTAGCTTAAGTGTTTGATTCAATCAAAAAGATTAATTTAAAAAACTGCATAATGAGAATGACACACAAAGCTTCTCATAGATTGCCTTTCCTTGCAGATAGAGCTTTTTTTTTTTATTTCAAAATTTTCGTCAGAACTCTTTCCTACAGCGTTTATTGAAGTTACACTATTTTCTCTTAATTACTTATCATATATTTAAAATTTATTAAATTATTTTTGCCGGCCCAGCTTCTGAACTCTATGCATTGCATTTTATATGAATTGTCCACACTAGTTCTTTGAGGAAAGTATTTATATATACATATATACATACGTATACGTAATCGCCCTCAGCTCGATTGGTTTGAAAACAACAACAATAGCGTCACTAAAACCACTGTAACTTGTAAATATATGATTGATATGATATGCAATTTGAACATGCATCGTTTGAGAGCTGACACTGTACGGCAGTGTTATGAATTTTTTCCTAGAGACGATATCTATGTGTTATTGCTGGAGGCTAAATGATCTTTCTCTAAATTAGAAAATCACACTATTATAGTGCTAAGTGTAGACTTTCTTTGTTATACCTATTACTGAAGGATGAGGTATACATTCGTTTTGTCGAAACGTTTGCAACGCCCAGAAGGAGAGATCACAAACCCGACAAAGTACATATATCTTCTTGATCAGCTTCGAATTCGAAGCCGATCTAAGTAAGTTAGCCCGTCAGTCTGTGTATCTCTCCATCTATCTAATGACTGTTCTAAACATTCTCCTTGTCGCAAAAATGAAGCCATCGATTTCAAATTTGCAAAAACATCTGAAGTTCTTGCACGCAGGTTGGTATTGAAAATGGGCCATGGGAAAGATACGCCCCAAAAGGAATAAAAAAATGATTTTTTAGCCATTACTCATAAACGGTAGGAGATAAATGTACAAAAATTTGAACGCATATTCTATGGGCGATATTCTAATCTTCACAAAAATGGAAAAATTTGATCGGGCTTACCCAATATTATGGTGCATCAAAATTTAATTTATTTTCCAATATCTTTATGAGACCCAGAAACAGATTCAATAATGCCAAAAAGTATATAAAGTCGAGATCAGGTTCAAATTCGTAATGCATCTAATCTTGTCCATCTATCTGTCTGCGCAACTGTGGCGTATTTATGGTAAGCATTCTCCCGTCAGCGAGAACGAAGACATCGCCTACAAATTTGCAAAAGAATTTGGAAGTGATATAAATTTTTCCAAGGACACAGACGCCTTTGTGACAAAAACGTTTAATTTAGAAATCGAATAAAGTCAGCCACGCCCATTCAATATAATAAAGTATGAAAATCTAGTTATTTTCCTCCTTTTGTAATCCTTTTTAGGACAGCGGTGATCCGATCACGACGGAATACAATTTTCTTACTTGTTTGCATAGATGTGGTTTCAAAATGAGTGCACTTTTCGCAAAAGGAATGCAAACTTTCGAAAAACTTAGGTCGCTAATTGGAAATTACCCGAAACCGATCATAAAAATGGCTCGCTCATTATGCGCCCTAATGTACTCACAGTTAAAACAAAACAGCGTCTTGCCGTATTCGAGAAAAAGAGAAAAAATTCCATCACCGAATAATGAGGGCATACCTAGTTTGTTAAAACTTTGCACAGTCCAGAAGGTAGCTTCAGAGATCATATTAACTGCATACATATTCTTGATTCGTGCCAAAATCGGAATCGATTTAAGCATATCCGTCTTTCTCTTTTTCTCTGCAACTATCAGCTTCAAAGAAACAAGTTTTTGTAAGCAGGTTGATATTAAAAATTGGACCAACTCGATGAAAGAATATGCTCGCACTATAACATTAAGTGAGGACATATGTGTTTTCAACAAAAAATTCTTTGTTAATGTGAAATTATTAGATATGAAGGATTCGATTGCGGCTGGATACAATTTTTTTATTTGTTACTATTTGCACTTTCTGAAATCTGAGGCGATCAGTCATCGGTAATGCTAACAATCACATCACCACGTTTTGCCGTTGGTATGCTAGCGATCACTAAGCCTCAGGCAGCGCGTCTCATTTGTAAGCGTGGATAGCAAATTTTTTGTTCGAGGGCTTTTGGTTGGTCGGTTAGTACACATCAAAAATCTGTTCAAACATTTTTTTTGGTTGTTTGGTTAGCATATATCAAAAATCTGTACAAATATTTATTGAGTATTGTAACTGTAACGCGATTCTTGACGGTGACTTGTACGCTAGAAATTTTCCTCTTCGAGAAAGCAAAAATTCAATAAAGATGTCCTAACGGCTTAGTTCCCGCTAAGCTTTGGTGAGAAAATTGTACTGTTACAAAGATTTATTTATATTTTGTTGCGTGAATGGATTCATTCCATCTGAAAAATATGCGTCTTATGCCCAGCATAACTTGTGTTACAAGAGTAGGTTAAGTGCGGATGTTTACAAGACGCAGAAGTACTTGAGATAAACCCACACTTTGTCACACCAATCCTTTCACAATCATTTTCCGGATCGAAGTATGTCTGTCCGTCTGACCGTCTTCTTTTCTTTACTCTGTAGGTCGTACTTCTTCAGATATTTTAATGAGATTTGGAACACCGACATATTAAGGCAAAAGGACGAATACTGCCGAAAGCGGTTTGGATCGGAGTCCTTTTCGGCCCCTTTGCGTCAAACACCTTACACCTTTGGAATGTCGTTGTATGAACAGTTCTATTGAGCGAAGAGGTGTAGGATATACAAGGGTGGGCCGCACTCCACTATTGTGTTTTCACTGTCTTTATTTTTAAAAAAGATCATGATTAAAATTTCTTTATATACCTAATTTTTCTAGTATGTGGCTTCGAAAATAAATATTAAAGGCTCACTTTAAGAGGAATGTGGTAGGCATCAGAATTAATTGGCTGCGCCAATGTAAATCTTTTCCTGTTTCGTTTTAGTTTAGATTGGTGCGTTTCAAGAGGAATATACAAAGGGTAGAGAAACTTATACTGAAACTTTTTTTTCTTTATTATAACGTGGATCATAAAAAATTTGATACCAAAGATTCTTAAACTCAAAGACACTTCTCCATAGCTTTCACGTTTATTATTATTATTATTTTTCTTATTTTTTTTTTGCTTTATCTTTAATCGTGATGAAGTTATAAAGCATCTATCAGAAAATTTTCAGTATAAATAATAGACAATGTTAGGAAACTGGTATAAGTTCTTCTGAAGTCTTTAGAGAAACAACAACCAAACAAAACATCATGAAATTCCTTACTTTGTTTGCTGTAGCCGCTTTGGCCTTCACCGTAAGTGCTTTAGATAAACAGATGGTAATTAAAATTAAATTTAAACAATTACAATATCCTTACAGGTCGTTGCTGGCGATTACACCGAAAGTCACGTTGAAACTATCCCTTCTTACACCCGACTTATCAAGGAATACTCTGCTGATGTCGTTGAATACTTTGGCCGTTTCTACGAATTCTTCAAGAACTTCGTCTACCAAGTTTTCCAAAAGTTTGCTCAATTCTTCCCTGCTGAAGTGAAAAACGCTTTCGAAAATGTCTACAAAAACTGGCCCAGATTCGAACAATTGTTCACCCCTGAATTCTTCACTGCCGCTAGAGAATTCTTCCGTGCCCTTAAGGATTTCTTTATGCCTCATCAATTCTACGCTTTCGTCGACAACGCCTTGAAAGCCTTCCCCACCGTTACTGAATTGTTGCCTCCTGGTTTCTGGCCCACCATTGGCCGTTATTTGGAATACGTTCCTTTCGCTAAAGAAACCGTCCATCAATGGTACTACGTTATGGAACAATTGATCCCCCATGCCCACCAATATTAAAACTATGTCTTTGTGTATATATATATATGTGTGAAAATCATGAAAAAATAATAAATTGAAAAAAAAAATTTCTTTTAAGAAAATAATATGCATTTTTTTAATAATATTAAGGGTAAAAGGATACTCCTCAATAATTATGGTTCACGTCTGGCCTTCGTTACTCCACACGCTTAGCACACATTAGGGTGGAAAAAGAAAACACTTACTTCACTTCTAATGCAATATTGATGCTAAAAAATGTGTCTTACCTTATAGCACAAGGTACAATTAGGATAGAGAATGATGTAGATCTTAAAATGAAATGAATGAAACTGTGCTTCGCTTTCCGCTCATAAGTAGATGCCTTTCAATATAATTATTTCTAAATCCAAAAACGCAACTCTTGAAAAGCGCAATTCAATGTCGCCACATCTGATGTTTATCTCTTAGATCTAATATATTTATATCATTTCAGAACTTTTATTTCCTTTAAAGGTGAAAAATACCAAATTTTCAACGGAACCTTATCTCTTCTCTCTTTCACAAAATTTTGAATTTTATTTAAAAGAACTATGTCATTGTATAAGTGCATAAAGTTCGGGTTCCACTGCACCTATTAAATCATATAATGTTTGAAAATAACAAAACAATTCACATCACCATTTTAATTGTAATCATACCCACCACTGCAAGATGGGGGTATACTCATTTTGTTTTTTTCCATAATCTATGGAACACCTAAAAGAAAGCTTTAGAGACCCTATAAAGTGTACATTCTTGATCGTCATGAAATCCCGAGTTGATTTAGCAATGTCCTGCCGTCTGCGTGTCTGTCTATCTCTGTGGTGTTTGTTGTTGGCACTCTCCGCGTCGCAAAAATGAAGATTTTGACTTTAAATTTGGTAGACAAATTCGAAGTTTCTGTACGCAGATTGACATGGAAAGTGCACCAAATCGGTCAGAGCGGAAGCGCGTAATGGACGCAAATCCGTTTTTTTTAACAAAAACTTTTCAACTTTTGCTCGTTCCTCGGAAATTATACGAATTAGAAGGCTAAAATTTTCCACATTTACTTCACGAAGCACTCTACTGCTTACGTGCAAAAATGGAAAACATCCGCCTTGTCCACACAAAGTTACAAGTGATTACATTCTGCTTTTTTCACTTTTTTGATCCTAAAGCAAACAAGACCGAATGTTTACGACCATTTTGTACACTCCTTAAATGAAGATACATTATCTGCCTAAAAATGGGTTAATGTTAAAAGAAATATGGTAGATACGACGATCACTTCTTTCATCAAATAAAAGAACTTGGAGAGTAGAATGAATAATAGTGATAGGTATGCGAGATTCGCTTCCCGGCGAATATAACTTTCTTATTGTTCTTGAAATGGTTTCAATGTGTGTTTGTAAGCATTCCCTAAAATAATATGCAAAATATAAATTTTATTATATTTATTTTTTAAATGCCAAACCTTTTCACTTTATACTTGAGGAAAATTTTACTTACATTTTCACGTAGAACGTCAACGAAGATAATAACTGAAAGATAAGGGGAAGACTTTTATATTACTGAGGACCGTTCACCCAAAATCTTTACAATACCTAGAAGGAAGCTTCTGATATCTATAAAATATATTCTTGATCAATATAACATTCTGGTATGATCAAAGTAACTCCCTTTATCAGTTCGTCTTCCTGCTCGTTGATTCCCCCTCTCCTTTGGCCTGTTTGTTTGTGTATCAGTTGCCTGAAACACACTTTCAGTCGTAAAACTCGGAAAAGATCGGATTTAAATTTGGTAAAAACATTGAAAGTTGTTGCAAGCAGATTGATTAATGCTGGGAACGGCCAAAATCGGCCAGAATACATGTGCGCAGTATATTGTAAAGTGATTACGTTTTTTTCTCGTTACTCCTAAACAACGACCATAAACATTTTTGTAAGAGGTGTTTCAAAATTTACGCAAGATTTGAATGGAATGGCAAATAGGCCTCTTTTTAAAGGTAATTTTTTTGTTGATACACGACAAGGTTATGGGTAAAATAGCACGTCGGACAAATGGTCTCCACGGCTTTGCTGGCTCTTTTATCGAAATTCTGATCATCGAAATGTGAGAGTACACCGCCAGGAATGTCTTACGCAGTAACAGAACTGTTTCACGGAATGTATGGCAGGTGGCACCGTCTTGCTGGAACCACATGCCCTTCGCATTAATATCATCTGACTTAGGTAGAAAGAACTGGGTTATCATAACGCCAGCACCATTTCCGAAGAAGTATGACCAAAGTTTCGTTATTTTAGAAATATTGTTCAAGAATGAAAACACGTTGCTCTCTTCCGCGTAATGCCCAAATTTTGCTAACCCTGAACTGTTAGATGTCGAACAGGTTGTTTTTTTGAGTTGCCAAGACTTTACTGCGAATGCAAAGCTTGCGTAAATTTTGCGACACGTTGTATATTCTACGGACCTACACCCAGATCTATACAAAAACGAAAAAAATCTGTGATGTTCCCGCTTATATTATAAAGTATTGATATTTCACTTTTTCTCCATTTTTATGAGTATTATTGATCATGAAACTGCTAAGTACACAAGATTCGGCCACAGCCGAATATAATTTTCTTCCCAACGAAGAAAAAAAGAAGATGCCATTGACTTCCGTAGCGGAAATCTTGGAAACTTCTAATGTACAATCTCCCAGACCTATTGATTGCCCAATAATGGGGTTATATCCAATCTTTGTGGTCGTTGCACGAGCATAGGTCAGATTAACTAGTTACTGACAGAAAAGAATATGTAAGCGGAAATTTCACTTCCCTCTACGCGAAACTCATCATTTGCGAAATACTCCCGCTCTTTCGAAAGTAAATAGGCGAATTGCGTCGTGAATATATATTTCGCTTTCAGTCTCAAACTGTAGGTAAACTTTGTATAATTCATCTTTCTTGGCAAATATTTTTGGAAATGTCAATAGAGCTTATTTGAACTTGTTCACTTAAAAAAATATTTATACACTTTCAAGGTATTAAATATCAGAAGGCTACTGCGGAAATATCTGTGAACGATTTCAAACTAAACAAGGGTTTAAGCTAAGAAAAGGGCTTCGAGGATGCGAAAAACGTATATGATTAAATTGTATTGATTAAGTATCCGTATGTGCTGGTAAAAGCGATAAAAAATTCGCACAATTCCATTTGTCCTCTTTTTTTTGGTTTCTCTCTTAATCCTCAACTTTTCTCAACCAGATATTCTTTGGAAAAGGAATTTCTGAAATTATGTTGATTTAAGTCAAATGGCTTTTCTGTCTACGGTTATAGTTTGAAAGACTACAAAGTAAGAACTTTTAACCTTGAACTCAGTATTACACCTTTGTCGATGAGATTAGAAGAAAAAAAATAACATTTTACAGCCTATTAAAATTAGCAAACAAATAAAAGCACGGCACAACTTTTTTAAATCACGATTTTCATGATCAAGAACATATGTATGTGATAGCTCAGACGTATCTGCACCAAAGCTTTTTTTTTTGTATAAATATCAAGAGGTTTTCTGCAAAAGACGTCAGTACTTTACAGTTCTTTAGCAACGTAACAAGTCCTATAACATCTAATAACAGTTAACATGAAATTCCTTACTTTGTTTGTCGTCGCCGCTTTGGCTTTCAACGTAAGTAATCCCTCAAAGCAAAAAGTGTGTTAATAAGTGAAAATATTGCATAAAATTTTTGCAGGTCGTTGCCGCCAACTACGAATACGCCATCCATGAAAACCACGGTGACATTTATGTCAAATCCATTAAGGAATACGCTAGCTATGTTGTTGAATTCTTTGGCCGTTTCTACGAATTGTTCAAGAACTTTTTGTACCAAGCTTACCAACAATTCGAAAAATACTTCCCCACTGAAGTCAAAGCTGCCATCGAAAACGTCTTCAAGTACTGGCCCACTTTTGACAAATTGAACAGCCCCGAATTCTTCGATGCCATCAGAGAATTCTTCCGCGCTTTCGCCAACGCCTACTTCCCTCATCAATTCGGTGCCTTCTTCGAAACCACCGTCAAGTGCTTCACTGACGTGACTGAATACATGTGCAAAGAATTCTTGCCCACCATTGGTCGCTACGTCGAACATGTTCCCCTCTTGAAGAACGGTCTCCAACAATGGACCATGTACATGGAAAAATTGGTGCCCCACACTCGTCAAATCTAAATCATATGGCTACTAGAAAAAATGGACTTGCCTGAATATAATAAATATTTATAATAAATTATTCAAAAAATTAAAAAAAAAAAAAAATTAATTTTCATGATTATTTAGTAAAAAGAAAGAAATTTTTAGACATTTTGATACAAATATGCGACACTGAAAATTTGCTTAGCGTACGACTGCTTAATCGATTATCGATGGAAAATTTTGAAACCATGCTGTTCGCTGTCGGTTGCATGTCAGCGCTGTCAGGAAAAACACTTAAAGATTGCTGCAAAAAAATGTGAATGTAGCGAATGTGAATAGAAATATGCGGGCACGCCAATACCTTTCCAAGTATGTGTGCGAATTAACATAAAGCTTGGATAGGACAATCCCTTGTTGTTGAAACTTTTTTGATGATTTTAAGCCGCGTATATCCTAACACCTTGCCAGCAGTCACCTTCCTTTTCAAAAAGCTACCTGCTTGTTTGACTCTTTTCCCATATTTCAACATAACAGGTAGTTAAAAAAACTGATTGGAATTCACTCGCAATTTTTATAATAAATGAAAATACTATACAGCGAAAATATAGAAAATTTTCACATGTTTAACCAGGCCTTTTTGAGGATAATCTGAAAGTGTTTTTAAAAGCTCTAGAGTTCTATTGTACCCAAGACCCGAGCATCTAATTAACAGATCAATGAAGTTTTTGATTTTATATTTTAACAATGACATGAAAAAAATCGATATCTTAGACGGTCAGAAAAACTGCCAAGAATCTTAGCATGTCATGGAAGTGTACACAATGTACTTTATTTTAGGAGTGGGCAACTTGTTGCATCTACGGGCCAATTTAAATTTTCATATCACAGCGGCGGCCAGAACAACGTCAAACTACTGTTAAAAAGGACACATTCTCCATAAATTTTTCTTCATTTCTAAATCGCTGTTTTTGTGGCCTAATAAACAAAAAAAAAAAAAAAAACGTTTGAACACATTTCGCAATTGATACCTGCATAGGTGCGCCACAACCCATTTGAATCATTGCTAAAGTGCGAACAAATTAAATTATTTGAAATTTTAAACGTAGCGGGCCTGACTCGACAACATCCCTACCCAGCTTCAGTCGATACTTCAGGCGCAAAAGGTACCATAACTAAAAACCCTAAATGCTGTAAAAAAGAGATTTCTTTCGAATTTATTACCATTGGGTAATATAAAAAGCCCTTCACGCCAAAATACGTATTACAATTAAGCATATTCATGAATCTATATTATATCACTTATAGAGAGGTGGTCCAAAGAGCTCGGTGATCCTTACATTACGAGAAGGCTGTACAGGTATTTGGTTAGATCTATACTCGAGTGTGCCTCTGTTGTGTGGTCTCCTTCATATAGGTGCTATCTAGATGCAATTGAATCTATTCAAAAGCAATTCTTGCTGATTGCCCTTAGGAATTTGGGTTGGGATCCGATTGTCTCTCTTCCCCCTTATGAAAGTAGGTTGCTTCTGTTGTCCTTACCGTCTCTCGAGAAACGTATATTTGTTATTGGCATTTCCTTCGTAATCAAAGTAATAAATGGTGCTTTTGACTCATCCTGCATTACTTGGTGAAATAAGCTTTAATGTCCCCAACCGCTTTTCTAGGCACTTTATCTTGGCTAAGCTTAGTCAGTGTAAATATAATTATGAGGTGTTTAACCTACTCAGAGTTGTTTGCGAGAACCTAAACGATGTCTATCACTTATTCTCACTATCGGATTCTTTAAAGTTCATTAAAGCAACATTGCTTAATACGCGTAATTTACCTATGTCGTACTTAAACTCCTGGCTCTTAACCTTAAAATGTTATTATGAGTCGATAATTAATTGTTGTTATCTATTATCGGTTGCCAAGTTTATGCATGTTTGCGATGACTTAGGGGCTCATTTGCAATTTGGTCCTGTACCGATTGTGGGTGTGGCTCTATGCTAGTTGTGTACATGCTTTTTTTCTTTTTTTTTCCTTCTTATTTGTTTTATTGCACTTTAATATTAATTAATTTAAGATTTACTTTAAGAGTCAATTTGTTTTAGTTGAGTCTCTTATATAAGTAGAATAAGATAAATAAATAAATAAATAATACTATTGTTTTGTTAGCGGCGCCAATCTATAACATTTACTATCTAGAAGGTTTAACAACGACAAATGCGCACCAAGGTCCAAAGTTGACAACAGATACAATCAAATTATATCAAAGTTCTATTGTAATGTTCAAGAATGATGATGATGAGAAGAATGATCGTAATTTATTGAATAGATGGTTCCACGAGTGAGCGACCGTGATTAGAAACAATTCCCCAAAGACTGAACTACTTATCAAGGGAATAAATGTTTATGCACTCCTTGAAAGACGTAAACAGTTAAAACTTTGAGCGAAAAACTGCGGCGTATCGCTTTTGATTATTTTATAAAAGCGTATAAGATATCTTATAGTCAGGAAATTGTGAAAAAAACATTTTAAGAAGTTACTGACATATTTCCGATTTCTATATTGACCAGGGGCAAAATTATAATGTCTTATGGCGAACACAAACCTAGCAATCTTGTTCACCAACAGCTTAGTTCTATTAAAAATACCAGCTATCGTACACAAATACACTTTCATGCAATAAAATATCTATGACATCATCAGGACATGGCCCACTTTGTACCTGACAGGATAGAACAAATACATTTCGAAGCAATAGAGTCATCGAAGAGTAAAACAAACTCTCGAACAGATGTCGCCAACGGGGTGTGAATAATCGAGTTCCCTGTCAATAATAACGCCCAAAATGTTTAAGTTGTTCACAGATCCTAATTCACTTCCTTCTAATTCAATTCTCCTATCTCCGAGATTCATAATTCATCATTTTTGATTTCGATATATTCAACAGCATAGAGTTTGATTTCATCCAGCGTTCAACACGGTCTAATGTGTCGTAAATAATCATTTGTAATGCATCTCTTGGCTGAGTGCCAGGAAACAACAGCTGAATATCACCTGCAAAAGCGTGTACCGAGCATACTCCCGACTCAACCACAGTAAAGAAATTATTCAAATACGTTGAAAATAAGAGCGTACCAAGAACAGAGCCTTGACCCACTCCAGATCCTACCTGCCGGATGTGTGAGTGACCATCTATAAAAGACACAAATTGTCTTCTTCCAGACAGATAGGACTTTATGACCGAGCACGGTATACTTGAAAATATGAATTCACCATTAAGTTTTTACAAAATCTTCAAACGCATTCGATAAGTACAATGACATTAGAATACTTATTCCACCTTCGTTCAGGTCTCGTCTTATGGATACCGAAAGTCCTAGCAACGTAGATGCCTCGGCGATATATGCAATATGCCGCGATATTTGAGATATTATTATATGTTCAAAACCTTCGAAAATATAGGTAAGATGCTTATGGGTCTTACTTTGTCGGTATAGAACGAAGCACTAATTTTAGATATTGGAATAACTTTTGCGAATTACCAGTTTTCTAGAAAAACAGAAATTGTTATAATGCCATTAAATAGGAAAAGCTATTTTTAAAAATCTTAAAGGTATTCCATCAACAACGCAGGCGTTTGATTTAATGTTACCAAACGCGGTATGAATCTCATAATCGTTAATACGTGCAAAGGAGAATCTGTTATCGGATCTGACAAAAAGCGTATGTTCACCTATGTTATCAGAGCTAAAATTCAAAAATAGTTCCTTAAGTGGTCAACATCTAATTTATCATGGTCATTGAACCGCTATTGCTAGTTATTCTTAACTGATTCCAAATCCCCTTGATGCCAACATTATTGCATATTCTACCAAAGTGAATTTTCTTCATTCTCCGTGTAGTTCTGGTAGTCCTATGAAACGTGGATTCCTACTCCCCCACTACATTCTCGAGGGCGATCATTTCAATAGAAGGCATATCCGAGAATGTCTACTGCCCCATCAGGCACCCGGGCTTTTAGCCAAGTATCAATTAATGCAATAATATCAAAGGTGGAATTTTTCATAAAATTTGCAAATTCATCGAACTTTTACGGGGTATGCCACAACTTTTATGCTTTGAACATTACAATGATCAATTTTCAAGTTGGATGCCAAATGCAAATTAATATGACTTAGATGCATATTAGCCTGTAATCGAAGTAATATTATTTTTCAATATAAATTATATTCCTTGAAATAAAGAAAAAAAAAGGAAAACATTTAAAAGAAAAGAAAAAACAAATGCAAATCCCAAAGTCGCCAAAGAGGCGACTGATTCTATACAAAGAAGAAGAGTGTCATATACATGTTGTAGAGAATGCAGAAATCAGTAGCATTTCTGGCTCAATATTCAACACATTTCTGCAGATTAACCCAAGAAACTAAAGAGCGGTGTCTTGATGACAACACCATTACCGGGAGAAGATTCAAGTTGCGAGGTTACAAGCATTCTTGGTACCTCTTCCTCATATTAAGTACATCTAATGTAATCTCGATTCTATCATTTTTTTTCGGTACCGCATGAGGCACATCTCCATTGCAAAATCTGTAGGCAGTAATCCCCTTTTCAATTTGCGACAGCGATAAGAAAATTTATTGACCACGGATGTAAGGTGATTACTTCAAAAAATTCTTCTGTTAATATCAGTCCCTTCGCAGTCCTCCAGCTTTAAAGAGCGAGCTGCGTCATATTTTTCATTATTGAGTTCCTTTTAGCAATCGAAGTAAATCTTATCAACAACTAGTTTTTGTTTTTTATGTGTGTGCACTGACTTATATCATTTTCATTCAAAGGCACTTCAAGTATTTTCACACAATCTTCAAAATCTTGGATACGATATTTGGAACAGCGTGCGGCAGCCCAGCCACAACATTGTCTAATTTACTTACACGGTTTATTAGAGCATTTTGCGACTTTTCCAGATCACTCATTCTGTGCATGTTTTTGTTTGTCTATTTGTTCGACGATTTTGTCATAAATTTTAAGGATAGGTTCGCTTAAATTTGGCTCAATAAGTTGGCCTTTGTAATTCCCCGTGTTTTTTTTTCATTTCTTCCAAATTTGACATCTACACTCTTGTCAAATTCATGAATTGCTAGTTGCAGTTGGGTAGCAATATGATTGGTCCTATACCAATAACCATGATGCAAGTTAAGCAAACCATTAAAATCGTCGATTAACAAACGCTACTAACGACAACTGATGCAATTGCGATCAAAAACGGGCTCAATATGTCAAAAGTCATGATGTCGGACATTTCGGAATTAAGTAATTTGACCGTTGATAACAGAGACCGTTTACGAAATGTATTAGGGACACTAGTCGGTGTACTACACTTCCCGCTGTTGCCAGCAGACGTCACTCCTTCTGATCACCACTGACTTCAATTAATTACTTTTTGTCTGCTCGAGCAGTGATTCCACTTTTACGACAATTATTCGGAAATAGATTCCCAGGGTGGATAGCGTCAAAAGATCAATTGTCCTTTCTGGATGGAATTCATATTCTGCCTAAGCGATAAGAAAAGTAATGCTTAACGATAGACGACAATTTGAATAAACTGCAAGTTTTTGTAATATGCGTTTAATTTTCCTTAAACTATCAACAGAAAGATATTCACACTCTCAATATGTCGGCCGGAACGGATCATCAATGGCCTTGGAATGATTTCGTCAAGAGGTTGAAAAATTCATTGATCTACAGTAAGATAATTTAAGTTGATAGCAATCTTCGTAACTTCAGTACCTTATAGGTTGACTTCGCTTTTTCAGTGCAAGAAATTAATTTAAAGTTGTCCGCTCCGTTCATCAGTATGGCGTTTATTGTTGTAATGTTCACAGTCACAAAAGTTGGGATATAAAGCGAAAAGTTATCGTTAAAAACCTTATTTGATGGACATAGATCAGACTTGCAAATAGATCCCGTCTATAATTGATAAAAGTACAACGTGCACCGCATAATGTTCTCGAAAACATGATGAAAGCATTTGCGAGCATCATCTAAAGATTCACTGAAAAACCTGATCACCTGATCACACAAGCAAAGAGCTAAAACTTGCAGCGAATTTGCAATTTGAAATCAGGCAAAAATATTTAATAGGTTCATTTGGTTTCAACGAGCCTACATGCAATAAGTTACCTTTCAATTTAGTACCGTAACATAAATAAATGAAAAATATTTAAAAATTTCTTTCTTTCTCCTCTTATTTTCAAAAATCTCCTTTCCCGACTATTTCGTTAACAATTTTTATTTTATTTAGTTCATTTATAAGTTCAACTGCTTAGAATTGACGAACATGAGGTAACAATTGTTCCAAAAATACCATCCATTGCTTCAAAACGTAGTTGAGGAATGGGACATGTTCGACAAATCTGCCAAAGGTAACAAAGAATTCTTTGGGGAATACTTCAGTGGCGGAGGCCCAGGTCTTGTAAAAATTTTCAAACCATTTGGCGGCGGGATGACCCCAAAAGTATTCTTGGAGAAGACCGAAAAATTGGTCAACAGCAGCGACGAATTCAGGTGAGAAAACGTTGTTGAAGCTGGGAAAATTGTTCCAGACGTTAGCGAAAGCAGTAACGATCTCAGCAGGGAACGATTCAAAATAATGTTGAATAGCGTTAAATAATTGATGGAACAATTCAGCAACAGGAGCTGGCAAGATTTGTTTCAACAATTCATAAACACGTTCAAGAAATTCAGCAACAACATGAGGTAGGGAAGAGGCGACAGCGTTATCCTTAAGAGTGTAAGGTTTTTCAGTGGTATAACTGTTGCGATTGAGTTGGTCAATGTTCAAGGCAGATACCACCTAAAAAGCAATGTAATAAATAATATTCCGATTCATTATCATTGTCACAAAAAGAATTTCTTTATTCATTACTTACGTTGAAAGCCAAAACGGCTACGGCGAACAAAGTAAAGAATTTCATATTGTTACTGATTGGTAATATTTTGACCGTTTCCAAAGAGATCGTCGTCAAACTTATATCTTTTTAACAAAATTGTCGCATATTTATAGCAAAATGTAAAAAGCAAAACCCGAATTCTTGATAAGTTGATAACTTCAAAATGCTTTTATCACAAATTATTCGCAAGATCATGAAAATCGTGATTTGGTTAAATACTTGGAATAATTAAAAATTTAAGCAACAAGATGCCGTTCTATAATTTATTTAGAACGCAAATGGCGTTCGCATTTTTCTAATGGATTTATCTTCCGGCATAGTTCCTAATCTGAAAACTATAGAAAACTGAAAAATGCGGTAAAATGGCAAAAAAGATGCCAATAAGTATCTCATTTTAATCTCACAGATACGAGTGCCAAAATTCATTGACTTGACATTGAAATGTAGAAAACTGCATTTGTATAACTTTTCCAAAATGTGAACATATATTCCTCTCGACCCAAGAAAGAAATCATTTCCCGAAATACACTAGCTACTACATCAATCAGTAAGTCCCGGGAATGAATTAAATTTTTTTTGCAATACACGACATTAACAATGAACGTAGCCTCTTTTGAAACTAGTTGAATTAGTCTAACATTTTCCTAACATTTCAATGCCAGAAAATGCAAATGCCTAAATCCATAACATACGCTTTAGTTCCCGCAATTAGTTCATCACTTGATCTAAATTTTTTTCCCCTTGTTTTTCCTTTTTTAAGTTTTGACAAGATATGATAGTCGCTTGGGGCGAGAATCGGGATATATGATGGATTGGGCAATAAACCGAAATGCACTTTCGTCACTGTAGCCGTCGACTTGGAATACGATGCATTGGTGAAACTTGGCATTTTTAAGTTTTCTTCCTCAATCAAATCAAAAGTTCTATATAATATCTGCTATTTATCATTCTTCCTTTTTCAGAGTAGTTAATAAAAAGAATCCCACGCCCGTCCCAACGTACGGACGTTGCTGTCTGCCTATCGGGACTTTTGTCGTTTGCATGGCCTTCACAGTGCCAGTTTGCCTTCATCGCACTATCAAGTTGATTTAGGAGCGTAATGAAGGACTTAATCACTTCAAAAAACCCTTTGAACCATTAACATGTTGACGTATCTATTCCACTGTAACTAAATGCAGTGCTCAGTGACGAAACGGCATATGGTTTTCTCATGTCTTAATTTTCATGAAAAATTATCAATACAGTACTTTCGCATATGTTATGTAAAACTGGGATGTACGCAGACGTGTAAATATGACCGCGGAATGTTGATCTACATAAAAATACCCGTTTATTGTATGGAAATGATAAGCACTTTATTACTTGAAGCATTACCCGTTGATAGCTGTACATATTTGTCACCTATCTGACGATTTGTGGATGATACCCCTGTAAAAATCTTCACCTTGTAAGACGAACTATTCAAAAAGTTTTTTTTTTTCACGACTTAGCAAGAACCAAAACGTTACTCAACAAATGCATGATCCGTCAATGAAAACAAGTGGTAGTCAGAAGGACTCGAACTTGATGAGTACACCACATGGATCAGCAATTACCAGTTGTATGGTTCCAAAGTGTTCGTGAGCCACTCTTACAGTATAGACGGATGGGCTGACGACGTGCAAAAAAAAATTACAATCTTTGATATTTTAATATTTTTTTGAACAGCAAACCAGTTACATTGACTAATTATCGTTATGCGCGTTTGGTGTTACTCATTTCACCGGAACCGTATCCACGTTGTCCAACAAGGAATGTAAACATTTGGCTATAGTGAATGTGGTCTGCGATATATACGAACGATACGCCTGCATCTATCCATGAATTTTTGCACCTGAGATTCTCAAAATAAATTCACTTTTCATCCCTAATAGCGGCAAGATGTGCAGACGATCTCGTCTTGTATCATTCAAATGAAAATTGATGCGAATTTCTCGAATTCGCTTTTTTGTAGCACATGTTTAGCGCTATTATTATTAGTTACGCTGGTAAGCTAATTCTTGCAACTTCACTTTCCGGTTATCGAGAATACTTTCCAGAATTTTTTCACTTTTTTTGATGAAAACATTCGTTGCGTTCAGCATCTTCAATATTTGTACGATCTTGCTTAAAATCAGCAAACCATTGACAAATCGTTCTTTTAACGCTTTTCAAGCAGTCGAAACAATATGAAATATTGGCAGGTGTCACTCCTCAGCGCTTGGCGCTTTATTAACACAGCTTAAACGCGATTCCTTAAAGGCGAAGTTAAATCATGCTTAAGGTCCTATGCCTTCCGGGCTTCTGTAAGCTCATCGCTGGCAATCTAATATTTCAGAGACAGTGCTATTATGTAAATAATCGAATATGATAATACAAATAATTAATCGGAAGCAAATTATGCTTAATTAGGGCCGAACTTTCACTGCCCGCTATTAGTATACGTGCGATATTTTATTGCCTGATAGAGCAAAGTTTCATTGACTGGGCGTATCTATCCTGTGTCGTATATCGTATATATTTCAAAACATATTTGACAAACTAATTATTACCTTTGAACAAACTGACACCGCTCTATAAGTACACTATTATTTTCATCTAAAAACATATTCAAACACTCGATCTTTATTATATATGATATTTTGGTAACTATAGGCGAATTTCTTCATTCTATCCACATTGATTTTCAAAGTTGACACGAAAATATTGTTAAGGAGTCATTTGATATGCAGCTTAAAGCTTTAGAAGCCTTTTCATTTTAATATGAACGTCGAAGTAAAAGGGGAAAGCTAGAATAGCTTTTACACTTAATCTAACGAGGGTGCAAAAAAAAAAAAGAGAGAAAACTTTTAAAATGTAGTGTAATAGCGATTTTAAGAGACGGCCAGATTGACATGTATTGCTACATCGATTCCGCAAATACATCTGATAAAGCTCATATACATAATGTTTACTGGATTGCTGAAGAATATTTTTCTGTTTAAATGGGAGGAAACTTTATATGTTTACGAACGAAAATAAAAGCCTAAGGTAGACCTGAAGGCAAATATATGTTTCCTTTCGTACTTAGCTTTTGATCGTTGAACATGAGACATTATTGTATTACAGTGTACACATATATGAACTCGAGAGAGCCCGTGATCGGCTTACTAAACAATAAACACGAATGCGAGTGCATAATGACGCTTGGTTGCTTTACGTTGACAAAGTGGTGCCCTTCCGTTATGAAGAGATACCCGCACGCGAGGCGGTACCGCGAAGTTTCCTAACATATGCCTTCATTTAAAAGATGATGCTTGCTCGATCGATGCGTCAATGTTGCTGATGTCGTCCATATCGAGTCTTTATTCGGATCGACAGATAGCTGAATACTTCCAAGATTGAACATAACCTTCATTAAGTGTTGCATGTTTTTCGCTACAGATTTATAACAAAATTTAAGATTTTTATCGATAGATGAAGTTTATTAAATTCTAATTTCCGTTGGCAAAACTCAGCAATGCGCGTTGAATGCCTAGTCAAGTATTTAAATATTTTTGCTCCATGTCATATCTTAAAGCACGGTAACCAAGTTTTTGTGTCACACAATGAAAATTCAAGGAATCTATAAAACTCATGATATATTCTCCTGATACGCTAATGAAATTTATCTGAACACGTATTTGAGGCATTCGATACTTAAAACAAAAGTGTACCTTATTGATCTATTGATCTAAGTGTAATGATGAAAACTGTATGCTGGAATAAGTGTTCGTGGAGAGGCGGACCAATGTGGAAGAAGGGGAAGGAAAACTTGTCTAAGACAAATAAGCATTAATCTTGCCCTGGGATAAATTGTGTCTATCCGCTGTCTGGACTCGAACATGTTTCGTATTAATATTAAATTTATAACTTAAGAAGCAGAAATATATCATAAACTGCTTAGGATATTTAATATTCTCAAACATATTTCGAACCAGAAGTGTTCGTGAAACGTTGACGTATTAAGGTTTAGGTCAAATCAAAAGTCGTTATATCGGTATAGCTTGAAATTTTAAATTTTTCAAAAAGCATTTATGATCGGACAAGATGATCGGGTTTTTAATTCCAATTATGATAAGCAAAACCAATAAAACTTTCTCTCTTATCCTTTCAAGGATAATGCCGTCTAATTTTGTTGTCACCCATGAATGATTTGTTGAGAAAATACTTGTTCAAGTTTGGATATAATTTTTATTTTTATGCTTTTTATGTATGTTTCATTGCATGTCTTTACAAAAAATTTTTCTTCCTTTGTTCTACTTTAAAACATGATTTAATGATGGTGAGTATGAGGCATCAATTGTTCCATAACCAACATCCATTGTTTCATGGGTTCTCTTATAAGGGGTACATGTTCCAAATATTTGCTTAAGGTGGTTAAGAATTCCTTGGGCAATAAATCGGTAACTTTAGGGAAACGCTCGTAAATGTTTTCAAGAACAGTGTAGAATTCATGAGGGAAGAAGGTGCTCCACATGGTATGGAAGAGCTCCTCGGCGGCATTAACAAATTCAGGAGTAAAGAATTGTTTGTAGCTGGGCCAAGTGTTCCAAACGTTGTTGAAGGCGTTAGTCAAATCATTGGGAATCATTTCGTAGACAGTTTGCATGTATTGATAGATTTCATGGATGAAATGATACCAAGGTTCAGGGATGACTTCCTCAAGGGCGTGCATTAAACCCTCAACGCCGGCCCAAAAATGATAATAAGCGCCTCCACCGGTGATGGCATTGTGCACATGAGGAGGTCTGGTGCCGGAAGCAGAAACCTAAAGTGTTTAATTAAAATTAAAAATTAAAACTCAAAATTAAACGTTTGTACTTACAGTTGCGGCCAAAAGGGCGACTACCAACAAAGCGAAGAATTTCATTTTTAGTACTGCTTTCAACGAACGTTCGAAAACTTGTGAAGCTTAAACAAATTGCTACGGTATTTATAGTGAAGGTTTTTTTTACCATTTTTCATAAATTCCAAATTTAACAAAGAAAAAAAGAACGCCACGATTTTCGATACATGCAAATAAGATAAAAGAAAAACAAACTGCAATTTTATATTTACTATATTTTTTCTTCGTTTATGACCTTCTTTTATTGTTATTTCATGACTTGGTTGTTTCGAGAGATTTTGTATCTCGGATTTACCCAAAAACTACTTATTCCAATTATGAGGTCATTGAACTATTTCACAGTTCAAAACTAATCCTATTTCTGATATGAATTTTCAATGGTGACAACAACTCCCTCATGGTATATCAATATCTAGACGCCTGGATATCCAAATTAAGGGACAGGATAAGCTATATTCTTCATTTTCCGTGAAATTCTAAATTGCGTATAACGAAAAGTTCCAATTTTCACAATTGGGTCTGTACATGTTCAAGAGAATCAAATCCATGTGTGAAATATCTTGAAATGGTTGTAACGGTCATGTACAGCGCGTGGCTGTAATTGTCATCCGCACTAACTGGCTGGCCAGGACGAGGGACATGTTCGATCAGAAAATCTATGCCATGAAGTTTATAAATTATTCCCTCTATATGCCCCTTGGACTTATTCCAGCATTATCTCTTATTGCTGCAAATAAGTTTTGTGAGTTTGCGTTACTTTCCTTCTGCCTTACTGATCCTGATAGTCAGATGATAGCTTACTTAAAGTATCAATACAAATTGTAGTTTTTTTTAATGTACTACACTTTACCCTTTGCACAAGAAACTTGCGCTAGCGGAAAAACAAAAGAGGTCTTCCCGAATTTTCGAAATATGAAATTACAATTTTCAATCCAACACAATGTCAAGTCGATTGAAAAATTCCTCCCAAAAACGATATTCATCGGATACTGGTACAGGTACTTGTGCATAATTAATATTCTCGACCGTAACGACGAATGCAGCAAATCTATCAACGGTATGTGCTAATCGGAGGTATTTTATTTCTTGTAGAAAACAAAGATCAACTGTAAGGAATCTATTAGAATTTGCTTGCCATGTTTTCAAGGCATTCCCCACTGCCTCCCAAATTAATGTCATATTTCCAAAGTTTATTAAAGCTTTAGACCAAAGCATCCAGATGTTACTGGTTTTTAAACTTCATCGTTTCAGTTCCCCTTCATACTTATTAAAATGGATAAGCTTTTATCTTCATAATAGATTATTCAGAGTTGCCTTCAGCTTCAGGAACTCTGATGAAGCTCCCACCTTCATCAAGCGTCCCTCAAGGCCCTTGATATTTCCCCTGCACATCAATGATCTCCCATCAGTGACCAAATCAGCCTAGACCTTAATGCATGTTGCTGATATTAAACTGTTCTCTTTCTTCACCCGGAAGTTTCTCGTTCTTATCTCCTTCAATCTAATCTAGATAATTTGGTGACATGATCCTTATTAAATTTTATTAAATTAAATCCCAATAAATTGCGAAAATTGCGTCATTCTCAAGCAGGAACTCTTTTAGTATTTAATGGAAAATGTAGAATTGTTGACTGATCTAGCGACTTTATTCAATCAAGGACAACGTTTCATGTTGCAGATTGACTTCTCTACAAATACAGGCAGATTGGCTTTCGGCTTTTTTGCACCGAGGTTAAGCTTAACGATTCATACGTAGCACAAAAAAAGGTCATGCATGAATTTGTTGAGATTAATACTTAAATTTAGCTCGCTTTAAAAGCAATTGTTGCTTTTCGTCCTTGGGATTTTGGAATATGATCTATTAGTCTTTTCGCCATCTTATGAAGATGGATTGCTTCCTTTACCCTTACATTTGCTAGAGAATCCCAGGTTTATCCTTAATGTTCAACCTTAATTAAATTCAATGGTACAGTTAAGTTGTAGCCCTTACTAAAAACAATCACTTTTTATCCCAGTGAAGGAATCTTTGAATACCATCGTTTAAATATGTGTTTGCTCCAACATCGTATCTAAATTAGCTTTTAATCCTCAAAGCTTCGCATGATTCGTAAACTTAATCAAATATGTTCGGCATAATTGTTTGTCAAGCTTGTGGTTGATTCCTAGCCAGGATCCAGATCCTGTGTGTCTCTATGCCAGATGTTGGCTGTTTGCTGCAGGTTTGATTACCTTTCAGCTTATATAAAATCTAGTTTATTGTAAAGAGTTAGGTCACTTTCATATTAAATTGGCAAAAATGCAGTGAAAGTCTGTTTCTAAAGATCGAGACTTTATTTATTAAATGTACCAACTTTAGGAAATTCATGGGGAGAAAAATAAGCACACGATCGATCAAATGAACCTGCGCTCGTGCGTGTATTCGTTCTACATTTCTGGCTTCAAGCGGTACGACGAAAGTTTGTACTCTCCTTTAGTGCAAGGAAAAGGTTTGGAGAAAATTTCTTTGAGATTTATTCGTTTCTTATTCACCCTTGGTGCGTTGAGCGAATAATCCTGCTTAACTGCAGTAAATAGGAATTATTCATTGAACACAAATAAAACTACTTTGCGATCAATAGGTTCTTTGCAGGTTCGAATGTGCGAAATTGAACATATTCAAATTTAGTGGATAAGTTGGAACTAATCGAAAAATTCACAAATATCTTATCGTTCATTAGGAAGGAATCCATTGTTCTATTGGGAAAGTAAGTCTTATTCTTCTTCTTCTTCTTCTTTTGCCGTTTTTCCCGGTTTTTCATCTAGTTTATCTAGAAGAGCCAATAATTGGCTCTTGGCAAGGAAATCAATAAAAGAAAATCCATTTAACATTTTAGAAAACAAGTTTCCGGCAAAAGAAATCAGCTTAGTTATGCACTCTGTTTAAACTCGAGAATTTAGTTTGAAAACTTTCCTCAGGTTAATGCGGCATGCAGCAGCACGTGCAAATGTAATAGATACAAAGTATGCATGCCTTGAATTTTTTGCACATGCATACAAACAAAATTTCGATCAATGTTCACACAGTTATGTATTCAATGATTGTAACGATAACTAAATCATGCAAATTTATATCTCGTCTCAATACTCTCTAACTAGGGAATATAATGTTCTGAACTTAGAAAGGAATCCATTTATAATATGATAACGGAGACAATTGAAGCAGAGACCGGTAATCATGCATTTCCTACCAAAGCATAATTAAGTTGCTATTGCAATTATCCTTTCAATATTCATATTCATATTCGATGCGAGATAGTGCTTTAAAGACATTATTGAATATCCCACAACAACAATCTGCAGCAGTCACTACCAATTGATACAATTGAAAATTTGATGGCATATATTATTGCAGGGAAGTTGGTGTTGCGAAAAAAATTATTCAAGTTTCCTACTAAATACCAAAGCGCTCAGGAATAAATGAGTGGAAGAAATCAGAACCGTTTTAAACAAACCATTTTCGCGAGCTTTGATCTACGATATTCTGCACCAAATGGTGGCTACGATGAAGCAATCAATATATAAAACTCAAAAGTATTCGATGAAATTAAAATTCTTTTATGCTGCAAATCCTTGCACTTTTAATGCAAGCTCAGCGAACCCTGCTAACTAATAACATAAAAAAAATAATTACTTCTTTAAACAATATTAGCTGTTAAGAAAAATCGCACTTTTTATAATTAAACCAATAATTTTTTTTTTTTGTTTTTATTTAATCAGTTCAGTTAATTTCATGTTGGCGTTAAATCCTTTAGGTGTTAAATGTTTAAGGACGAGAGTGTTGCAACAATTGTTCCAAGACCATGTAAGTATTTTTCAAATATTCTCTAACGAAAGGAACTTTTTGCAAATGGGCGCCGATGCTGTTGAACAATTCGGGCTTAATGTAATCGGTGATTTTGGGGAAGTTTTCCCAGGTGGCGTTCACGAAAGCCCAGATTTGAGGAGGGACAACGACATCCTTGATGGTACGGAAAAGATGTTCAACGGCGTTGATGAATTCTTCGGGGAAAAATTGCTTGTAAGTGGGGAAGTGAGCGTAGACATTGTAGAAAGAAGTAGGCAACTCAGATGGGACCAATTCGCCGATTCTCTTGCAAGTTTCGTAGACCTTTTGGAAGAAGTTGTAAACGGGTTCAGGGCATACAATTCTTAAACCTTCCATGAAATGTTCGAAAGCAGCGTAGAAAGCATTGACATCATAAGCCTTGAAGATTTCAGTTTTCTCGGTGTTAATGTCACGAACATAACGGGTATGGGTGCTGTAAGCAGAAGCCTAAAGGGAAGACAACAAAATCAATTTTTTCAATTTTACCGTAAAAATTGCACAAGGATTACTTACGTTAACAGCCAAAAGGGCTACCACAAACAAAGCGAAGAATTTCATATTGTATTTTTCTAGTTTTCTACTTGCCGTTTACAAACAACTTGTAAGAACTCATACCTTTGACTTGAAAGTCTTGAGTATTTATACTAATTTTTTATTTAACAAATTTTAATAACTTAAACACGTTCTATTTTCAAGTAACGCACGATTTGCGATAACTTTACTAGATATAATTTTTTTAATTTTTTTACTTTTTTGGTTCAGTGACATATCATCGGCAACTTTATAAGATGTCTACGCAAAAGGCTATTTAATGACTTTCTACCACATCGATAAAAGTTTCACATTTTCTTTCTTACATAGAAATCTTGAGTGATTCTACGGCATTAAGAACAACGAGTGTCAGGCTATGCAGTCAATAAGCCAGATTATGTACAATTTCGTTCACTGTAGCAAAAACTTTTATCATTAATGATGTCCACGATCAACTACATATAAAATCGTTTCTTTTCCTAGTTTCCTACCGACTTTCCATTGCCTAGGCATATTAAGATAGCTAGCTAAACAGAATTAATCGTATAGTAGACTATACCTCTCTTGTCTTATCAGGTACAAAACATGAAATTTCTAAAGTGTAATATCAGATCAGGTTCATGATATTTTCCGATTGGCATTGGCACAACACAATGCATTCTTCATCATCAGTTATAATACGCTTCAAAACTGATATGCTTTAATGGCATTTAAATCAGAAATCGCAACCCCAATCCCTTCAAAGCTTTTCGACCAGTCCGCGTTAAATTTTGATATTTTCTCTTTCATTTAGACTCTATTCAATCATCCTCATGCACACTTAGACATGTTCAAAATTATCGTGCATGTAGTTTTGATTGCTTCCTTTGCTTAGTGGAATTACTTTCTTGTCATTTAGTGGACACTTTTCGTAAATGTAATTAATGCTAGAAATTGATACGTAAGTGAAGTAAATGTGTACGAATGTTTTCTTACCAAGACCATAACATTGTAAATAAGTAAAACATACATTTTCATTCACACATATACATACGCATACATATACAATATATATAAAATTTGTTTGTGTTATTAAATTTCACGCACCCCAGCCATTGCTATCTCTACTCGACAAAAGTGAAGCATATGTTCATTTTCCGTGGGAATGACCACATAGCAGTTGTCTATGCGGGAGAGTTAATTTGTCTTTTCAATTATAATGCGATAATAGCAGCAAGAACGATAACAAAAGACCCTTTAAAACGGAAACGGAAATGTTTATTAATGCATACACATCGTATGAACACAACTCACATTGAACGCTGCTGAAGTTAAACATGAATTTTTGGTAGACAAGGAATATAAATTTTAACGAAGTTTATGTGTATGTGTGGCCGTGCACTCATAATTAATGAATGTTTCGGTAGCCGTTTGGAAAAGCAAGCAACTGTGACCAATGTTTCATGTGCTAACATGAATATACATATACATATATACATATACATATATACTTACACACGCGGAAATATGCATATATATATATATATACATTCGCACGCCCATATACATCAATTTCTATAAGGAATATATGTACACAGCGTATTTATATATATATATGTAGACGTATATGTATTTATTTATATGTATACGAAGTATATATATATCTACATAAATATCAATCGATATAAATTACCATAAGACATCAAACTTCTAAACCGATCTCCGTCATAATTTTCATGTTTCTGTGAAAACGTTAACTTAACTTGGCTTTAATTGTTAAACGCCTTTCGTCTCGCCTTTCATGTGCTACTTTATTCAACGGCGCTTAAAGGATTCCTACCTTACCATTAAATGTACCGATATTGTTTGGTGTGTTACAGGTTAAGGTTTGCTCTGTTACAGGTTACTTAGTTTTCCTTCTTTCTTTTTTTTTGACTTTAACATTTTCCTTGCACTCCTTTGCCAATGGATAATGTACGTTTAACAATATCTGTCAGCCATTTGAACCAATACCAAATTATTCATTGTTAATGCAAAACTTAAAGTTTGTATATATATGCGCGTATAGTTCATATATATATTTTATATATATAATGTACTCGAGCAATTTGTTGTTGTTATTATTGTGTTCGCCTCTGGAAACAGAGCAGCAACACTTTCATATTGCACTTAAGTGTTCTGTGTCTTACTTCCTAGTCAAACACAAGTGACAATATTATTTATTTATCACATATATTTTTAAAATGGAAAACTTTACTTTTTACCTAAAGAGCATGTATATGTATTTAGTTCATGTTATAACTGCACAATTTTTTTCTCATTTTGTATTATTTTTTCTTAAACGATGCCAACTCAATCGTAAGAAATGAAGCATTTAAACTAATTTTATTTGTAATAATCTGGTACGTGGTATAAACTAAAGAGGCGAAAAAGGAAAACACGTGACCAAATAAATGCGCCAGTATACTTCATTATCATTAAGTCCCTGTGCTTTCGACCTCTCTCTCTCTCTATCTCTATCTCTCTCTCTCTCTCTCAGCTACACGCTGAATCAAAGAGAGCTTTAAAGTCTCGAGAATTGGAAACAACGGTGGCATAAGTGTATAAAATCTGAGCGGAATTACAATAAAGGCAACGTAATACATGTGGAATAAGTAATGAGCTTAAAAAAAAAAAATTAATTCGATCCTACCTTTTGGTCACACGTAGTGTATACAATTTTCTAAGCAAACTTATAACAAGGTCCGCAATCTTGAATCCAAATTTGCAATTTTTTGGCAAAAGTACTGACACCTTTTGACTCGCTGGCAGCCTCATATCTTAACATAACAGTCGTCTTGGTGTACTTAAGCTGACGTATTCTTGTTTCGAAATGCTTTTCAATGAACTCAAATATTTTCTAAAGGCATATATCTAGTAGGACCAAAGAGCAACTAGAAATTAACAAGCAAGATATTAAATTGCAGCTTTCCAAAAGGAATTCATTTTGATGGCTTGGGGAAAAAAGCAATATTTTAAAGTAAAAATTTTTTTCCATCTTGTTCCACCAATTCTAAAAAGCCTAAAATATTTATTAAGTAAATAAAAAAAAAAAAAAAAACATTTTCCAAGAAAGATACGGTGACGGATTTAATTTATAAGCAATTCATAAACGGAAATGTCCGAACACAGAAAGAGGCCTTAGAATTGGGGTTTACAGATGTCTATTGAAAAATTCTTTTCGAGATCTAATTCAAATTTATTTTTTTCCTTCAAGGTTGACATACGTGTGGAAGCACATGGAAATCTATAGTTTATCTAAATCTAAATCGAACTTTTCGCAATCATTTAAAAATAATGATTCAAATGATTGCCTTTACACGTTGTACATAAATATATGCACTTATTTCATGAAAGGCACGACCACACTTGTTGATATTGTAAAAAGATAAAACGACTTTGTTTGCTAAATCAAATAACATAGCAAAATTTCTAAACTTTTCATTTAAGCAGCCAACTCAAGAGCAAGGAGAACGAAGAACAAGCAAAAAAAAAAAAATCGTATTTGGCTGTAGTCGAATTTCTTATACCCAGCAACTCTTTATTTAAAAAAAAGAAGGAAGAAGCACTCAAGTAAATAATTTGCTCTTTTAGTATACATACTTGCGGAGAACTCAATCTTTTTGCTTTTGAAAGCAGAGTTATTCTCAGTTCATGTTATGCTATAGGTGCATTCTTTCACCGATTTACCTTAAGCGAGAACTGCCCGCTTTTCAAATTTAATTTGAAGCTGATAGCTTAATTTTAGCGAACGGGATGCACAGACGGGCACGTCGGTAGACATATATGACTGCATCGTGTCAAAAAATGATACTAATGAGGTGTGTACATACATATGTCATTTCCTAAATCGGTGAAGCTTCCTTCAAGCGTTTTCTGTTGCAAACATTTCGACAATATGAATATATAACTGATTCTCTTTCCGCGGTGATGGTGAATATAAAAAAAATATAAATACATATAAATTCTTTCATTCATCGTAACGATGTTTTCACTGTTATTACATGCACTGTTCTTGTCTTGTCTACTTGTCTGTCTGCACCTTTGAGTAAATAAGCTTGATTTTCTGTTAAAAGTCTCTAGACATTATGCTCGTCTTGCTTGTAATATACTGGCAAGGCATTTTTATTCCATCTTTCCCTTCAATCGCCATCTATTTAAAGAAGATTTTTCTCTGAAGACGACATATATGTATTTCTGCAAACTTTCTTTAGAGATTTACCTTACCTTAAGGATTTATGATAAATGTGCTTTTTTTGTTTTTCTTGTATATATTTTTTTTTTTTTATAATTTCTACGGAGAATGAATTGGCAGAAATCGCTATAAAGTTAATATTTGTACTCGTTAACGTTTTTCAATGAATCAAATTTAAGTGCGTTTTATATCTATATCGGCAAATATATTTTAAAAATATTTTAACTCATATTTAAAATAAATAATGGAAATATGTGTTCACCTTACGACAATTGCACTCATTTTTGTAAGCGTATCTAGCCGGCGAAAACTAATATTTTATATGCCGGCAAAATTTTAGACCTTTCCCAGGATTCAAAGTTTTGCAAAGCAATGAAAATTTTCCTTAATAAAATATAAACTAAACTTAAGTCAAGCTTTCGCTTACCTTTGTGAGGCAAGCCTTTATGAATATGAAAGCAGAGTATGTAGGTGCGATCTTTAATTTGCACAATTACTTAATAAGTGCCATCGAGCCGTACAAAATGATTATATAAAATATTCGTACGATATACGAAAGATTTGAGACAATTTTGTTTTTTCCATCTTGCTCGAGAACAAAGAAAGGTATAGTACTTAAATGGTCGTCATATATGAAATTTTGCTCTCGGTGTTACCTATTGTTTTTAACTTAAACTTTTCCCGATAGCGATAATGAAAACGACAAGGTTCGTAATAAATTAAATTTTCAAATATTCTATTTAATCCTTTCAGCAAATTGTACAAATCCTTTTATATTGTATGTGTTGTGTAAACTTTGTATATATATGCGCCCACCTACATATATATATTTGATAAAAATATAATATGAGAAATGTAGTTGAATGGTGTTTGCACAAAGCGAGAGAGAGAGAGAGAAAGAG